TGGCTCCCAAATATTCCTGGGGCATACATCAGGCAGGGCCCATCATGGGGCTCTCCGACATTTTGTTTATCCTGAGTTTGGTAATTATCCACAAATGAGCCTAGTTTACGAGACTTAGTGTTCGTTTATCAATACATACTATTTCCCGAGTATCCTACTATTGCTCCCATGACTCCCAAATATTTATGGGGTACAAGAATGGGAGAGCCCATCATGGGGCTGCCCGACATTTAGTTTGTCTTGTGTTTGGTGACTATACAATAAGGAGCCTAGTCTATGAGACTTAGCGTTCATTTATCAATAACTACTATTTCCCGAGTATCCTACTTTTGCTCCGATGACTCCCAAATATTTATGGGGTACATGAATGGCAGAGCCCATCATGGGGCTTCGCGACATTTTGTTTGTCTTGTGTAATGTGTTTGGTGACCATAAAATAAGGAGCCTAGTCTACGAGACTTAGCACTCTTTGATCGATACATACTATTTCCCCAGAAACCTACTCCTACTGCGAATGGCTCCCATAATTTTCTGGCTTCCAGAGATCGCGGGGCGCCCATCACGGGACTTTCCGTCCTTGTTTATATACTGATGTTAGGATACACCAATTGATGTCCGTTAAATACTATGCTCCAATGGCACCAAGGTACTCTCAATGCTGTCACTTTGAACAATACAATAGGTTAGGCAGGCAACCTGTTTCTTGTCTACCAACTTCGTACTCATATCTTTGCCAAACATCGACCAAATAAATGTCGGGGAGCCCCATGATGGGACCATATGTTCCCCATGGTCACATTTGTTTTCGAAGCAGCATGGGGCTCACAGGATACCAGGTAAATAACCAGCTTTACCCCTAGGCAAACTCTTTCTTGCCTACTAAATTTGTAATCATTTATGTGCCAAACATCGAACAAACACATGTCGAGGAGCCCCATGATGGGACCCTTGGTTCCTAGCACCTACATTTATTTCCCAAGCATCATGAGCCTCATAGGATACCAGAAAAATAAGCAGCTTGGCCCTAGGCAAACTCTGTCCGGCCTACCAATTTTGTAATGATATCTTTGCAACACATTGACCAAAAAATGCTGGGGAGCCCCATGATGGTACCATATGTTCCCCATGGCCACATTTATTACCCCAGCAGCGTGGGACTCATAGAATACAAGGGAAATAAGCTGCTCTACCTCAAACAAACTATCTCATGCCTTCCAACTGTATTTGCCAAACATAGAACAAATAAATGTCGCGGAGCCCCATGATGGGACCCTTGGTTTCTGCTGCCCAAATTTATTTCACAAGCATTGTGGGGGCCATCTGATAGTACGAAAATAATCCATGCTACCCTAGAGTGTCTATCTTTTGAGTACGGGCTTCAACTTTATAATCATGCCAAACATTAAGCAAACAAATGTCGGCAAGCCCCATGATGGGACCTTTAGTTCTCATCGGCCACATTTGGTTCCCGAACAGTGTGGGAGTAACGAGATAGCAGCAAAATATCTGGTGCTACTGTGCGGAATTTATTTTCCATGCCTCAGCGGCCCCACTGACAACTACGATGCTTGTGGCGGACTGCCAAATACCTCGGCTGATTATCATATTAATTGTTGCTTGAGTACCTCATGCGACCCTCTCCAAAGCCAACAGACAACGAGGGTTAGAGGAAGAGGGATATACAATTATTAAAAGTGCCTAGTCATGGCCGGGGTGTCCATTGTATGGGGTGTGGTATCTGATCGCTGGGCGACAGCGCACCCTTATTCCATTTCGACGTGTTACATGGAGTGTTCAGCTGACCAATATAATTGTCATGGAGTCTGAGACTCCTGTGGCTTATGTTCATTCTTGCCCTTGAGTGTTCAACGATGCTGGGAAGTCCGTTGAACAAGCTAGTAGTGAATGTCAACAGCGTGCCCAATTCGAATCTACCAACTGGCTGTGTGAGTATATACAATTCCGACTCAAAACCGGTTTCCGTTGGGGCCAGCTCCAACTCCTTCTGTCACAGTATTTGATTTGGCCAACTCCATTTGTGTCAGATATCAATAAGCTCGCAGTGTAAACCCCACCAACGAGCTACAACGTACGGACTTCTGCATGGGTATAGGACCGCCAACATGGTCGAGACCTATCGCAACCGGGTTAGATCCGTAACGCTCATCAAATTGGCTCCAGCACCATGATCGAATTAATGGGTAATCAACGTACTAAATACGATCACGTCGATTGCTCCTGACGCCGTCTAGGCACCTGAATAAGCCCACTTAAGACTGAGCCTGCCTGACTTCTATTTTGTACTTATTGCTCAGCTTTCAACGATTCTCGGCCACAACCACTCTCCTGGAACCGTTCCGCATCCTTCTGCTATGCCCACTTCCCAGACTATGGCAACCAAGATAAAAGACCGTGAGGCTTAAAACTGTCCATCATTACCCCGACTCATACAGCTCCTTAGACTCCGCAGAGCGCTACCTTGCCGACGTAGCTTTGACCGAACAGCTGATCAAAGTAAATGAAGTGTTGGCTTTGGAGGCAGTCATATCTCTATGGTCCGACCTTCAGTTATATGCGGTAGGGCTGGCGTTGCCCGATAACTGGAAAGTAGTCGAGAAGCACTTCTCCAGCCGACATTCGAGTCTAAGACCTTAAACTGTATGGCCATTTTGACCAGCTGCACCCTCGCTAAGTCTCCAAAGTTCACACAAGGAAGAGGGGATGGCAGCACCTTCCGGAGGAGATCCGGACGATAGTCTTCAGGCTGGTTGACATTCAGGACATCACGGCGATGGCGGGAGCGCATCCTTACTACTCCTCGTACTTTGCTGATATTATGCGCGTTTTCTTTGAGTCCTCATTTGAACGATGGGCACTCAACTGGATGACCGTCAAAGTCATGCTCCATCACACCGACGCTCTCATATGTGGCGCCGGCCCGTCAGCCAACGCTCTCATGGAACCTTACACATCCGTACGTCGTGCATCTACCATCGATTTCTATGTCTCCAGCCACACTCTATTGGGATAAAGTCACGACCGAATACATGCCTGTATGTCCTTGCTACTTGTGCTGTGGATTTTATCCATGTCGCTGCCATCAAACCTAGGGATATTCGGCCAGTATGTGAACAACTACGTCTGTAACTTAGCTAATAATGACTGTGTAGAATCACTATGGATCGCTCGCTATGAGTGAAACACATCTGTTTGGGATGTGAAGCCGTAAACTAACTAATACGAACGTGGCAATTGTCTTGAGACACTTATCCCTGCCATATTTCGCCATATTTCATTTTAATAAGTAACCAACTGAATGTCGTTGAATCCAGTGATCAAGGCTGTCGCTTGCATATACTCGCCAATATTCGAGCAAATACAACGATATGATTCGGCAATACCGTGATGGCGACTCCGAGTCACTCTAGGACGTCTACTCTTCAACAGTTACAAGGTCAGGTCTAAAAAGGACATAAGTACGAGTTTTGCCGGGCACGCCACGGCCTTCACCCCCAAGTATAAGGATGATCGAGGGTCCGTAGTGAGGGAAGGGAAACGGGGGGATGCGACGCAAACGGGGTGGACGCGTGACAGGCCCTATTTCAACAGAATCCAAGCCTTATTTGTTTGTCCCCGCCTCCTCACCGGACCAATCCGGTCACCCATCATTCATCGTGTCCGACGTTTAACCCCCACACCTCATCGAAAAACCGCTCGCAAGCATGTCTGGCACTCGTTTCTGTCCTCCTTCTTCTCACCACCCGCTCCGACGTCGCGAGGAGAAGCGCACAGACGACACTCAGCCGTCTGACTCGGAGGACGCCGCCACAGAGGAGCCCAAGGAGGGGGTGCCAACGCTGAATGTACGCAGCCTTCTACACATTCTACTGCAACTCCACAAATACACTCACACTTCCGCAGATCTCTCCATTGGTGCTTCAGCACGCACAGAAAGGCGATGCCTCGACGCCGACATCGAGCGTGCGCGCCGTTCGGTCGTAGATGCCCGTGGCGCAGCACACACGGATCGTGCGCATTCGACTCCCCCGTGCACCGTGCTGGCGAATGTCGCCCGGCGGATTGGGCTGCCGCTATTCGTGCTCGCCGGTCCGCCTCCTTCCTCCGCACCACGATGCCGTTCATCGACCCCTCAACGCCGCGATCACCGCCCTCACCGGCGCAGGCCTCATCCCCTCCGTCCTCAACCCCGCCTTCCGCCCCAGCAGCTTCCTCTCCATCGTCCTGCCCACCGACTCAATGGCGCTCGGCGCGAGAGGTCGCGCTGCCCGACACCGTGCAGCCGCCGGGCATCGTCACCGCCGCCGCTCCAAACAAACCCGATTTCGGTAGGGGGCGCGATACACGGTCGCGATGCTCGATCCGGACGCGCCGAGCGCCGCGCAGCCGACGACTAGTCAGTTTCGGCATTGGGTGGTGCGTTCTTACACTTTTAATAAACCTAGGGCGAGATTTGAATGGTAATAGGGCTAGATAACGGGCCCAACACTCCCCGAAGCCCCCCCACAGCCCGTATTACAACCCACGCCCGCAGCGATCGCCTACCCCGCCGAAGGGGAGCGGGATCTATCAATACAGTGCGTCCCTAATTCCTCTTCCAAAAATAACAACTTGCCTTGAACATTGATTCGCGTTTAGCGTTCGTCCTCTCCGCGAGCCCCCGAACTGCTCCCTCCCCGCGGACGCCCCGGAGCGCGAGGGGGGCACCGAGGCGCGCCGCCGCTGGGACGTGGTCAAGTTCGGCGAGCGGCACGGGCTCGACTCGGAGATGGGTGGGGCGGTGTTTGGTGAGAGGTGAGGAATAGGTGCGATATCGATGTGAGGATTGGTATGTAGGGTTTGAATCGTGTATGAGTACTGTATGGATGGAAAGTGGGTGTGAGTCTGCGTCTCTTACCGGATCCTCTGCGTCGTTGACATTAGAGCAAGCATTCTATTACAGACGCTGTCCGGAAAAAAGTAAATTAGAGCGTTCTGCGGTATGGCTCGAGCCCGAGTCGAACGGGCGCCTCCTGCGATACACGGTGGGATATTGGTTACTATCCAGCGCAGGCGCGGGCCGTCCACCATCGAGCCGGTACAAGCTACGATTCAAACTTCTCTATCTGGGTATTTTTGCGGTGTTTTAGCAGGAGGTAAGCATACGCTCGAATTTCGAAAGTAACCTTATCCAAAATTCTCGCGCTGCGGAAAATATCATATATCTCCGCGCGAGCGAACAGATAATAGCTTCGCCGGGTAAGACTCGGTGTAAAGTGAAAGCAAGAACGGGAAAAAAAGGGAGTCGTTTGACTAATGGCTCGAGCCCGAGTCGAACGGGCGTCGCCTGCGATAGAATATGCCACTCGTACGACACGCAGGTGCGGGCCGTCCGCCATCGAGCCGGTACCTGCTGAGATTCAAACTGGGTTCCTTGTCTGTGCGTTGGTGCGAGGCCAGTATATACGCTCTAGTGTTGAAATCAACATCATCCAAAATCCTGTGAGTCGGGACGAGCCCGCGGTACGTGCGCACCGCTGAAATCTGGTGTATCTCTGCGTGAGACAATAGACAATCGAGAATGAGAAAGCAAACGAAACGAAAACAAATAAAAGGCAAATTCACAACAATCTATAGTCGAACGGGCACCTCCTGCGATACACGGTAGCTCACTAGGCCAGAGATGACTCATGGCCCCTAAGGATCATTTTTTGAACCGTATTTAGCGCACTATTGCGGCTGTGTGATCGCTGTGTGAGAGAGTTCGGTGTGCCCACGTTGTCTCCACGCCCATCCTCCCCACTGTCGATGGCCACCCCTGCATCCTCAACCCGCACTCTGCAACCCTCTTCAGCTACGACGATACTTGATAGCACCATTCTCCCAGCGCTTAGAGTCGCCAAAGCTGGAGCAACTGGCATTGGGGTTCCTGGGGTCGAGCCAACCATCAACGGGGTTTTGGAGCTGGCGACGATGCTCTCGGTGCGTCCATACTCGACATTCTCGACTACTAAGCTAGCTAACTCTGGACAGACAATGAAATCCAATAAGGAAGACCTTTCCAGGCTTGAAAAGTCGCTCGATACACTGATCGCCATCGATTCGTCGGGTGCTAGTGGTGATCTGAAGAAGCGGCTCACAAAACTATCTTCGTGTGTTGTGATCCAATTCTACCTTATAATTTATTGATTGTGGATGGCATTAGGGAACTCCAAGTGATTGCTCTTCAGTGCAAATCTCTAGGAGATAAAGGTTCATTTGTATCAGTCCAATTGATGGACAGAAAAATCGATAGTGTCAATACCAAAGTCCAAGGGATTGAGACAAAAATTGACAGCAGCAAAGCAAGAGAAATCCTGGCTAGTCTCACGTGTGTCGCAGCACATTATAATGCTGCGAATACTCCCGATACATGCATGGATGGCACACGAGTTGACCTAATCAAGGACATTGTTGCGCGGTTGACCAGCACTCCTGATTCAACCCGTGTGGTGATGCTCAGCGGTGTTGCGGGATCTGGAAAATCCACAATTGCCAAGAGTGTGGCAACTACTCTGGCCGAAGAGAACAGCAGTCTGGCAGGGTCTTTCTTCTTTTCACGGGACTATGTGGAGCGCAAGGAGATCAAGCACCTCGCCACCACACTGGCTATGCAACTTGCAGATTATAATACCATCTTTAGGACTCACCTCTTCCAATTACTTAAGACCGATCGTACTAGGATTCTTGAGGCAGAACCACGTCTGCAGTTCCAGAAGCTGGTTGTCAACATCCTGGGGAAGTTGCCTCCGATTTCAAAACCCTGGGTCGTCTGTCTTGATGCACTGGATGAATGTGGACAGGATCGTGGTCAGATCTTTCTGCGGTGGCTCTCAGATAGCATTGCTCAGATCCCAGCCCACGTCCGGTTCTTTCTTACTGGACGGCCAGATGTCCCTTCATATCTCAAGTTTGATACTCTTCGTTCTTTGATGCACGGGATTATCCTTAGTGATGTTGATCCTGCACAAGTCCAACAGGACATTCATCTGTATGTTGAGCAGTCACTTGATGGTGCCAAGTGGACTACAAGGCATCCGTGGAAGGTACAGGCTCACGATGTGGAAAAAATAACCACTCGTGCAAATGGACTATTTATTTTTGCAGCAACTGCTATCCGTTATGTTTGTGCAGGACTGCCACAGGTGCCACCCCAAGAATCAATTGACTACCTCCTTGGTGGAGAGCCTCTCACTGACTTATATGGATTGTACCATCATATTGTGAATGAGGCCATCCCATTGCCTCCCCTGGGAGATCACCGTGCTAAAAGTTCATATGATCGAGTGATGAAAATTCTCAGTACCATTTTGCACCTCCTGGAACCTTTGGATTCTCACAGTCTTGCGGCCTTGCTGGAACTCAATACAGAAGTACTTCTAGGGACACTTCTCCCTCTGAGTGCTGTAATCCATGTTTCCGACAGTCCTGGGGCAGCCATCCGGATAATACACCTCTCATTCAGAGAGTTTATGACTTCCTACATTCAGACAACCCGGCCTGAAATCCTCTGTGGGACAGAAGATCAGCAGCAGTTCCTGGTGGCTGCCCTTATGAAACTTATGTACAAGGAACTGAAATTCAACATCTGTGATCTGCCAACTTCCTACCTGCGAAATATTGACATGCCAGATTTGCAATGGCGACTTGACACTTTCATCCCGCTACATCTGCAATATGCATGCCAATTTTGGTTGGATCATGTTTCAGCAACATCATACAAGACTGACACTGCAGGGATGGTGCAGGAGATACTCTTCGGCAAATTCTTGTTTTGGCTGGAGGTATTGAGTTTAAATAGGATGGTGGATCATGGACCCCGGTCTCTATCGAAATTGAGTGCATGGGCAAACAAGGTATGAATATTCACTCTATACTCCACAAAGTCTGAGTAAAAGCATTAGAATACCTCCCTAGTCCGATTTGCTGACGATGCAAAGAGATTTATTTCCTTTTTTCATGAACCCATTGCTCAAAGTGCTCCCCACATCTATCTGTCAGCACTCGCCTTGGCACCAACAGACTCCGAGATCAGTCAAAGATTCTCACATCAATTCCCGCAGTTATTATCAATTACAAGAGGACAGATGAAGAGTTGGCCGGCCATAATTGCAGTACTGGAGGGCCATACAAAGGGTGTTGACACCATAGCAGTATCTCCAGATGGAAGGTATATTGTGTCTGGCTCCGAGGACAAGACCCTGCGTATTTGGGATGCAGAGGCCGGAGCAGCTGTCAGGGAGCCACTGCAAGGGCACAGGAGTTGGGTCACCAGTGTCGCATTCTCACCTGATGGCCAGCAAATTGTTTCGAGTGGGGACTGCACTGTGCGCATTTGGGATGCAGAGACCGGAGCTGCAGTGAGGGAGCCACTGAAAGGGCACAGAGGCCAAGTCACTTCCGCCATGTTCTCACCCAATGGGAAGCAAATTGTTTCAGGCTCTAGCAACCACACTGTGCACATTTGGGATGCAAAGACCGGAGCTGCAGCCAGGGAGCCCATGCATGGGCACACTGATTATGTCACCTCTGTCATGTTCTCACCTGATGGCAAACAAATTGTTTCAGGCTCCCGTGATCGCACTGTGCGCATTTGGTATGCAGAGACTGGAGCTGCAGTCAGGGAGCCACTGCATGGGCATACTGATTATGTCACCTCTGTCATGTTCTCACCTGATGGCAAGCAAATTGTTTCAGGCTCCTGTGACCGCACTGTGCGCATTTGGGATGCAGTGACTGGAGCTGCAGTTAGGGAGCCAATGCATGGGCACACTAATTCGGTCACCTCTGTTGCATTCTCACCCAATGGCAGGCAAATTGTGTCTGGCTCCTATGACTGCACCCTGTGCATTTGGGATGCAGAGACCGGAGCTGCAGTCAGGGATCCACTGCATGGGCATACTGATTATGTCACCTCTGTTATATTCTCACCTGATGGCAAGCGAATTGTTTCCAGCTCCAGCGACCACACTGTGCGCATTTGGGATGCAGTGACTGGAACTGCATCCAGGGAGCCACTGCCAGGGCACACTGGTCCTGTCGCCTCTGTCACATTCTCACTTGATGGCAAACAAATTTTGTCTTGGTCTTATGACAATACTGTGTGCATTTCAGATGCAGAGACTGGTGCTGCAGTCAAGGAGCCACAAGAAGGGTACACTGATTGGGTCACCTCTCATGTCTTCTCACCTGATGGCCAGAAAATTGTTTCAAATTCTGGGGACTGCACTGTGCGCATTTGGGATGCAGAGACTGGAGCTGCAGTCATGGAGCCACTGCAAGGGCACACTAATTTTGTTACCTCTGTTGTGTTCTCACCTGATGGCAAGCAAATTGTTTCGGGCTCTGAGGACTGCACCTTGCGTATTTGGGATGCAGAGAATGGAGCAGCAGTCAGGCAGCCGCTGCATGGACACACTGATTCAATCACCTCTGCCGCGTTCTCATCTGATGGCAGGCGAATTGTGTCGAGCTCCCGTGACAAAACTGTGCGCATTTGGTATGCAGAGACTGGAGCTGCAGTCAGGGAGCCACTGCCAGGGCACACTGATCCAGTCTCATCAGCCATGACCATGTACTCACCCAGTGGCATGCAGCTCATGTCTGGCCCTGAGGATCATGGGATTCATAGCTGCACTCCCGACAGTGTTAGTAGTGCATGTCTGCAGCAGTCTTCCATAACTGCAAGTGGATGGCATTTGCTTAATGTGGGTTCTCCCCTTTTCCACTGCTAATATCTTACTCTCCATCTAGTCTCTTCACCTCAAATCCCCGACCACCCCCCTTTGTTGGCAACTTCACAATGGTTGGGCCTCTTGTATCCTCCCAGAGCTCCTCTTTTGGATCCCAGCCTCCATGAGGATTGGCCTATGGTCCCCATACAACACACAAGTCATTAGTCGAGAACAAACCAAACTCACATACGAACGGTTTGTCCATGGTACAGACTGGGCAAAGTGTTACTCCCCATCTCAGAGCATTTGATTTAGTCTTTTGAGAGGGATTATGTTGTCTAGCTATGTTCCCCTATTTTTCATCCTTCTCAACTGCAAGTCCCCCCTAAATGCCAGCCAACTTTGATACATTTTGTAATATAACAAAATGTAAAAACTATAGAACATAGCTGGTAGATGTGCAGGTTCAGAGTACTTATGCAATTATTTTTAATCAACAAAAATGAGATGTGCGCAGGCTCGAAACTTTTTGTCCAGTTTGAAGTTTGAATGAAATTTGTGGCGATGCTAGAAGGTGCTAATGACTTCGATGGCTATGTTGAATGGATTTTAGTGACTATGCTTAAATCTGCTTCAAATTTTATGACTCTTTAGTGGCCGTGCTGTGGCCATGCTTGCTAGTGTAATATTCA